TAGTAGCTGAAAATGACAAGTGATGGAAGAATTTGTCAAACCATTCCTTTAGGAAAAGAAGGAACAAAACACTATGAAAACACCTCAGTACACATGAAACTATTATTGGAAAATTGTACCTAAAGTATAAAAAAACCCAATAATTAATCTGCAAAAAATGTCATAGATGTCATTAATTAAGATCATTGATTCAGAATATTTATTATCATTGTGGCAATGAAACTGATATACTTTTTATGCTCTTTAATCAATCATGTTCTATAAAGCATATGCAGTGGTTATAAAAACAACATATTTTTATAAGTTCAAAAACACTGTTATGATACTAAATCACTGAAGCTCGTTTACTTGCTAATGCTCTCCCAGAGCAATGAAAGCAGACCATAAGCACCTTGCCTGGCATGTTGTTCTCCCATCAGTTTACAGTCACAGAAGAGCAGCTTATTCACAGAAACAAGGTGCTGACCTCTCAGCTTTCCTGCTTTCATTGTAAACATGAAACGGACACGCCCTCAGAGACACAGACGACTATACACTTTTCTGTGAGACTGAAATAAGCACACCTTACTGCAACAATAGTCGACTGCAGCAACAAGATGGCTGTAATGTGAAGGCTGAATGCACATATTAATTGACAAGGGAGTAGCTCTATGAAAGCACTGTCGGAGATTAAAGGGGGAGATTGCCTTATTTTGGTATGATTTAATTTATGTCTATTTTTAGGTTTGATGAGGCAAGCACTGCTTACCTTGCTTGCCCTGAAAGAACACCACTGTGTTTTCTGATTATTGTTCTGCTGCATACACAACACAACACAAGCTTGTTTGAGCTTCAGGGCACAAACTGATGGTTGGATGGCTCTGCTTCAGGATTTTCTCATAGAGAGCAGAATTCATGGCTACATGGGATGATGATCTTACTGTAAAATGCTGTGTTCAAACCACTTAAACCATCCAAAAAAAAGTTCACATTTTGTCAGTCATTTTGTCAGTCCACAGAATATTTTCCCAAAAGTTTTGATAATCTTAGAGATGTTTTTTTTTTCTTTTTCACAAATATGAGACAAGCTTTTGTTCTTTTTGGCCAGCAGTGGTGTTTGCCTTTGAATTCTCTCATGAATGTCATTCTTCTCCCCCGAGTCTCTTTCTTATTGTTGAACCCTGACCTTAACTATGGCAAGTGAGGTTTTTTTCCTGGATGAGCTGTTGATGGGCTCTTGCAGTAATTGTAGCAGGCTGGCCACCCCTGGGAAGGTTCAACACTGTCCTAAGTTTTCTTGATTTGTGGATAATGGCTTTAACTGGGGTTTGCTGGAGTCCCAAAGACTTGGAAATTGCTTTGTAAAACTTTCCAGACTGACAGATGCCAATGACTTTAAATTGCGGCATGATGTGTTGCTCTTTGAGATCTCTTAGCTACCTTTACTTTGTCAGACAGGTTTATTTAAGTGATTTCTTGATTCAACAGGTCTGGCAGTAATCAAGCCTGGGTGTGTTTAGTGAAACTGAACTTGTTGCTTTCCAAAAAATTGTGGTTAATCAAAGTTAATTTATAATTTAACAAGGGGCCAATTACTTTTTCACACAAGGCCAGGATAAGTTTGGATAGCTTTTTTCCCCTTAACAAATCATCGTTTAAAAACTGCATTTTGGATTTTCTTAGATTATCTTTGTCAAATGTTAACATTTGTTTGATGAAACTGAAACATCTAAGTTTGACAAATGCAAAAACAAATCTCAGAACTCACAAAGGAGGTAAATACTTTTTCATGGCACTCTAATAAGCTAGAAGTGATAACTAAACAGCTGGGAATGCTAATAGAAAAAAACAGCTGGATATACTGCATCCAGTTTATGATTCTTAGCATATTCCCTTTAAGTAAAGGCTAGCTCATCAATAAACTCTATTAAAGCTCACACCCACTACACTAGAGAGCAAATGTAATTACAGAAAGCATGTCTTTTTGCACTTAAAAGAAAACATTGTGGATCTATGAAAGAAAATATGCTCCTGAAACTTCATTCAGTCACCTTTTTCTTCTAGCTTAGTATAGTGTGATGTGTACTGTAGTGAAAATTCAGTGATCGGTTAGATTTCTTGTAGCATCTTAAAGGAAATCATTCCTTTAAGCGTGCCCATGCACTCCATGCTTCAAGACATACACTCTTACTAAAGTCAAAACTATAAGAATTTTAAATGCTGAGACTGCAGAAAGGGTGAGACAGTCGCAGCACTCAGCTGTAAAACAGTCTGGCACAACACTAACAAAGGAAATGAGCAAACCACATAGCAAATAACAGACTTTTATTCAACACTAAGCCCAACTGCTCATATCTGAGTGCCAATCCCAGTCACTTGCAAATAAACAGATTTATGAGAAATAGTACACACAAATTGCTACATTTGTCTAGACAGGACATTATTCTAGCTTTACTTATACTGGCAAGATTAAGCTGGAGTTTTATGAATATGTATATTGGTATATGTCAAATCTTGACAGTCTCCAAATTTGCACTTAAGAGTGAATTAGGTGACTCAGCAAATAAACTACATTTCTAACAGAAAAAGACAAATTTTGCCTCCTACAAAGAAAAGCCAAATGTGAAAATAGCTGAAATTCAGTATTTATATGGAATAACTCATTCCCTGCAAAAATATTTAAATATTACATAAAATTCTCTTCATGTGGCCATTTAATCATCCATCTTCTTCTGTTTATCTGTAGGGAGAACATACAAACTCCACACAGAAAGTCTCCAGTGGATTCAAACCCAGGCTCTTCTTGCTGTAATGTGACAGTGCTAACCACTATGCCCCTTCACCAAAAAGCACTGTATTGCTGTTGTCACTATACTGCTCTCAAGTACTACATCCATCCATCCAATTTCTTCCGCTTATCCAATTCAAGTCCACAGACGGGCTGGAACCTACCCCAGCTGTCATAGGATGTGAGGCAGAGTACAGTCTGGCTGGAGAGGTCACCAGTCTGTCACAGGGCTAACCGGGAGACAGACAATCATTCACGTTCATATGTACAGGCAATTTAGAGCCACCAATTCTTTTACTATAACTATTGTCGATCAGTAATTGCAACATGGATTATCTTTAAAATCTAAAACTTCATGTCCATGCCAAAAACCGAAATAACACAAGCTTAAATGCAGTCTTGAATGGAAAATTTAAAGTAAATACCGTCTCTTTCAGGAGATTTTTAGTGATAACAAGCGCTCTGAGTTAACACGTTGATTTTCTTTTTACACGACAAATTGCGTAATCAGGAGGAAAAGCAAAGTTATTATGCATCTTAGCCTCCAGTAATTACACCGATGTACTTTAATATAAACACACTGCATCAGCTGGTTTTTTATTTGTTCGTTTGTTTTGGACACAGACTGTATTGACAATCACTCATTATTGTGGCAGTTACAACACAATACCAAAATATAATCATTAGAACAACAGACAGAAGTTCTGGCATGAATAATAGTTTTGATTAGCGCCAACACACAGCCATCATCTGTCAGTATTCACTGTGATGTAAACATCAAAACATTTCCTTATTCATCACATTGCTACCAGGTAGAGGGAGTGTAGAAAAACCGCACTGCACAGCTCAGATATTGCACAGTCTCTGAGCACAAGTCTCCACAAAGACATTGAAAACCATCCAACACATCCCACACAGCGCATAAATCAGCCCATTGTTAGGAACATGGGCTGCATTCATAGGTGGCAGAAAACTCGGAAATAAGTTGAATGTGCGCATTTTGAAAATGCACTGGCATATAAATATTCTTATAGCTCACCTAGTCCACCAGGTCAGGAGGTACTGTACCTTTCACCTCCTTAGTGAGGTGGAACAAAACTAGTGTCTTCCTTCAGACTAAATATTTCTTATCGTTTCACAGAAAACACTACACATTTAAAACGATAAACTGTATAGTTTAATTTGTTGATTGTGCAGTAGGCTGGTGATAGAGAAGTAAAATGTTATCCAGATGTTCACTAGAGTCGGTAATGTCAGTAGCATGTGGCGTTCTCAACTGCACTGCCAATGATTTAGCTACATTACTAAATGCCATCTTTGGTTATGCTGCAGAGATTCGTATATGTGGGGAGCTGTCGCTGTGTCAGCTGCTTCTTGTTTGGGAATCCTTCATCTATTGTGGGAATATTTTCATCTCAAACGCAGCACGAATAAAAACTTTTATCCATTAATTTATCCGATAAATGTTATTTTAAATTTGAAATGAATGGGCAATCTTTCAGAAAACTTTTAGTAAATAATCCCCAAAACTCGTTCTGATTTGATAAATTAAGAGTTTCTATCAGCTGTGGGGCTAAAGAGTCGTCTCTCTCTTGTTGCAGCACGTCTCAGAGGTTCATTACAGAAATAACTGTTCAGGTCTCTGTAATGAACTGCTCAATGGACAGGCTTTTATCTGTTAACAAAGAATCATTGCTTGCATTATTTATTGATAAATATAACGAGTTTATTAAATAATTAATGATGCATAATCCCTATTTTGTCTCTCTATGTTTAAATGCTTTTTCCTTGTTTTTCACTATCCTATAAATTTTGCTTCAACTTGATTTTCCTCACCTTTACCTCTGTGTATTTCTGTCGTTTGATCTCCTCCCTTGTATTTGCAGTCAGATTTTCCCATTTTTGTTGCAGTCTGAAACTGTACATTGACCTGTGGGATGGCAGAATTTATGGTTTGGACTGTCGTTTCCCAAATTTGGCACATACAGGTAAAGGCTTCAAGGTAATGCTTTCAGACTGAAGGTTTCAGTTAAAATATTAATAGATTTTTTTTTAAATTAAAGATATTTTAAGATTTTCCCTACAAGAGTTGATTCTAAGCGACCGGTCTTTACGATCGGACTGTAGCAGAATTCAATTATTATGATGTGAATATTAGTTATAATAAATAAATACTGATGAAATCTTTAAGGTGAAACGTAACCCTTTCGTACCCGTATTACAGGAGAAATCCAGCGCGTCCCACGAAGATGACGTCCTCATCGGGTGACGTGTCAGTTTGTTTACAGCGGTGAGCAGTCGGCTGCAGCTGCTCAGACATGGCTGTTGATATCACGTTACTTTTCAAAGCCAGCGTTAAGACGGTCAAAACCAGGAACAAAGCCATAGGGATTGGCTTCGACTCGACCAAAGATGAAATTTTCAAGAGAAGCAGACCGAAGAGTGGCTTCTCACCGAGGGCGAAAGAAGTGGTGAGTGTTCATCCAGGCTAGCGTTAGCTAACTTTGCTAGCACAGTGGCCAAAGTGCTTTACGTTTAATGGCAGCTTCTAAACTTACTACTACTTTGTAGGAGCAACAGCAGCCAGTGAAATACAGTGCATATACGATGCTTACCACTTCTGTTTCCTTTGGTGTGTTGGCGCTGTTCGTGGTTAGCCGGTGTTCTGTCAACATTTGCAGACTATAACTTTGCTAAATGCAGCATGAACTTAAAATGGATTAGATTTTTTAAAATTTATATTGAATATATGCAAATTATGTTCCAAATTTGTCATAGAATAGATAATATTATGATACGTTGAGATTTGAAATATAAAGGTTGTGATTTTGACTAATACAATAAGTGGCCAGTTAATCGTTTGTTGAAGGCTTTGAGGATCTGTACTGAGAGTAGGGAGCAGGTGAAATAGAGCCTGGAGATGTGCAGGTATGCTTTGAGAGAAGATGAAAGTCAGTAGAAGCAAGACAGAATACATTTGTGTGAATGAGAGGGAGACAGGTGTAACAGTGAAGCTGCAAGGAGCAGAGGTACTGAAGTTTGAGTAGTTTAGATATCTGGGGTCAACCATCCAAAGCAACGGATAATGCATAAGAAGTGTGAAAAAGAGTTTGCAGACAGGGTGAAGAAGGTTGAGGCAATGTCAGGGGTGATTTGTGAGAGAAGGATAGCACCAAGAGGGAAGGGGAAGGTTTGCAAGACTAGACCTTTTATGATGTATGACTTGGAGGTGGTGGCACTGACAAAAACAACCGGAGGCTGAACTGAAGATGTTAAGATCTTCGCTGGGAGTCACCAGGATGGACGAAATTAGAAACAAACGCATCAGAGGGGCAGCTCGGGTTGAGCAGTGTGGAGGAAAAGTTAAATAGGCAAGGATGAGATGGCTTGGGTATATGCACAGTCGGAAGAGAAAATACACTAGGCAAAGGATGCTGAACGTGGAGGTGCCAGGCAGGAGGAAGAGAGGAACACCTAAGAGGAGACTCATGGATGTAGTGAAGGAGCACATGCAGAGGGTTTTTGTGATTAAGGAGGGTGCTAGAGATAGGGTGAAATAGAGGCAAATTATCTGCTATGGTATTTTGTAAAGGCAGCTGAAAGAAGAAGAAGAATATCCCATCGATGTTAATGAAATGCTTTTATGCCCTTTCCTGTATATACTTTGGTAATCTACAACTTTTACAGATACAATATTCACTCATTAAAGTTATCTGGGGATGTCCAGGCTTGCTACATGTGTGCTCAACTGTGTTTTACAATTCCTGGTTATTATTATAATAACTGTATTTGTTGGAGTGTGCCGTTATTATAAGTGCATATTATAAGTGCATACGCCACTTCATATAAAACATTCTTGGCACAGATTGATAGGTGTGGGCATCATAGGGAGAGAAATAAGTCAGAAATGTTGTTTCATAGCTGCTGGTGTGCAGTCTCCCAGTCTATATTCTCATATCTGACCAAATTCTCATGAAAACAATCACTCAAGGACAAAAGTGTCACATAAAATATATATATGTATTTTCCACAACATGAGGCCTGCAACTGATATTCAGAAAAAATTTTACACGCTTGGATCAGCAGTTGGTGTGGTTATTTTTTCAGAAACCATATAAATATGAACAGCTACACAACTGAAGAAGTATGTTTTCTTTTCTTCCTTTCTTAGTTTTCTGGTAATAGCCAGTTAAAATGACCTTGGTCTCACTGAAAAATAGGGCTGCCACAAACGATTATTTTGATAGTCGACTAGTCACCGATTATTTTTGCGATTAGTCGACTAATCAGATCATCATCCATTGGACGTACAGCGTATTGCACCAGCAGCATCTGGTCTTATATAACTATCATTAGCTTACAGCTTGAAGTGTTTGTGCTAACTAAAAATAAAGACAAGATGGTAGTTTATTAATTTTTAATGAAATTTGCAGATTGTTTCGGTGAAGTTTAATAAACTCCTTGCTTTCTAAAATATAACAGGACACCGGAGTATATTCTCCAGCGTCTCACACTTCTGATAATCAGCTGTCTGCTTGACAGTTTTAGCTGTGCAAAAACTATAACTTTAATCTCAGCCAAACCGATTTACTCAGGAATAAAATACTAAAGAAAGCCAAACAATAACATTTTTAAGTTATCTAAGTGACTTATATATATGTTTAACCTGACTAGCAAAAGACGGCGGTGGGTTTGAAAACGATTTGCCGGGAGTCCGGTGTTCTCACGGCTCTAGTTAGCCTTGCCCCCGCTAGCTAACGAGCTAGTGGGTAACAGACGTCTCCGAAAACGTCGGAGCGCTTTTGAAAATATGTGGTGTCTTGATAAACTGAGCAGATATTTGAGGTTTACACAGCTACATTCTCGCCTGAAAATATGTTAAACGTTTATTTTGTGACCCAGAAAGAATAATAAGAGTAAAGTTAAAACTAACTAGCTGCCGCCATTGTTGACAACTGCGCTGGGCTGCGCTATGAATTCTGGGACACAGCTTCTTCTTCTTCGGGGTTTAACGGCAGCTGGCATCCTTGTACATGCAGTGCTGCCATCTTCTGTTTCAGTCCGTTATTACACTCTTAAATCCTACTACTCATTCCTGCGTCCTTTGTGATCTTACAAAGCTTCAAACGATGCGTCGACTATTAAATTAGTCGTCGACGATTTTAATAGTCGACATAATCGTGACTAGTCGACTAATCGTGGCAGCCCTACTGAAAAATGCTAGCTTTTTAATACACTGTCAGTAATGGAATTTAGACTTCATCTCCTCTAATACTGTAATAATATAAATTTATTTGTAGAATTTCACATAAGACTAAATATATTGGGGAAAACAGTTTTGGATCTCATTTTATGAGACATTGTGTTGATTAAGGAAATGTCATGAAAAACATCTTAAATTATCTTTTTCCGCTGAAATACAGACCCATCCTCTATGGTTGACGGTACAAGATCTAGCAGTGTACATGTTGCTTGTACGTCTACTGCTACTCTTTGGCCTGACATGAATATCTCAAAAACAAACCTCTTCAAAGGTACCTTGAAGAACCACTTTACGTATCCCAAGGGGAGTCAGGGCTTTAAGTTGTACCCGATGTCTTCAGCCATCATCCCGAGGCAAACATGAGCCCATTTGCTGCAGCTCTGCACAACCAGGTTTTTGTTATGTTCTGTTACATTGATATTAGAAATGGTGGTTTAATAAAGGCTCTGCTGCTTATTCAAGAGAAACCCAAACCTATCCTGTGGTGGCTGCACCCTGCTCTCCTCCCCCCCTACTGCTGTCTCCATCGCATTGCAGATATCATCTCCGACCATCTCAGTGAAGCCGTTTTTGCCGAAATTGAAAATGTGAGCTTGGAATGTCCTGACTGCTTACAGTTATGTCGCGGTTTTCACCCACGTCTCCCCGGCTCAGCTATCCTTTTCTGTCTCTATTCGGCATCACATAGGCAGTAATTTTTATGCAGGTCGCCTCTTCCCATGTATGATTCCATAAACATGCTGCAATAACATTTTCTTTCGGCTCTCAAACAATTTCTGGGGAAAGCTGATCCTCCCAAGAGCCAGTGATTAAAGGTGGAAGATCAAAACAGAGAAAATATTAAATTAGGTCCCCAGTAACAATGTTGACGGCCGGCACCTAATGCACAACAGATGTGGGTGCCCTTCAAGACATGCATAACTCTCCCGCTAACTCTCCCTCCTAAATTCCCATTGAAGCTTCGCAAAAATAGAAAGAAAACATCAAAGTTGACAAATACACAGTGGACCTCTGAGACTTTTTTCTTTTTCCACTCAAAAGTCAACACAATGAGAAAGGAAATGTAGCTACTTTCAAGTCGATTCAAGAAGGGTTTGATTGACTAATAAGAGGGCCAGTGTTTGCAGGGTGGGGTTTGGTAAGGGGAATCTTTTACCTCATAGGGGTTGGTTTTGGGCGCTGTGATCTCCGTTTCACCGCTCACCTCGTCGCTCTCCGCAGCATGCTACCCTTCTCGAGTTTAAATGGGGAAGGTCACTCTAAAATTGTCAAATTGGGTGTAGAAAATAGCGCTTGGCTCCCCACTCTGCCTTCAGTATTGGTATTCCAAAATTGGCTCCTTCTCACACTGTTTTCTTTGAAACACTGAAAAGTGGGCCAGCTCTTAAAATGATGTTGTGTTGTTAGAGGGGCTCTTCGCTGTGAAAACTTTATAGTGAAATGGTATGCTCTAGTATTTTCGTAACATTTAGTCTGAATTTTTCGACGATGGTTAAGTTTCCAACTCCAGTGTGTTTTCTTTTTTTTTTAAACAATTGAAATTTCATTTTATGTTTGAGATGTTATAAACTAAATCAAGCTAAACCATTGTGAAAGTGAAGTTAAAATTATCACCTTGTATCACACCGGGACGTTAAAGAGGATCAGTGAACTTGCAAAGGTCAGAGTCGCAGATCAACGTTGAAATAATCGTTAGAGATGTGTTTAAGAGCCTGTGGGTGTTTTGCTTCAGAGGAAACTGGAATGAATTTGCACATTTCTTCTTGTGCTTAACGGATCACATACAGATGGTGTACAGCCACAGCAGCAGATGTTACATGACATTTATGAGTTGTTTAGGGAATGTGGTGCACAAGTATGCCCCCCCCCCCACAGTCTTTGTAGAAGTAAAAGTAATTGGCAGTCAAAGAAAGGTAAAACATTTATCATAGGGATGTTAAAAAGCCCAAAAGCCAGATCAGTGAAAAATAAAAGAATTGATATTGTACATAATATGTACTAAAGCAATGGTAGCGCCTTATTTAGCCACATTTTGCAAGTTTGCAGTCAGTAATTTTATATTATGCTTCTGCTCATCACGTTACCAAAGTACAACACAAAAGGTAAAACGCGGTCTCATATAGCTGCCTAAGCCAAGTCTATGCTGAGCGATTTGCAGGGATCACGCTCAGATGAACAGTGCTGCTAAATGGTCTCTTTTACCAGTTG